TCAATCATATGTTTGGTTTTTTGGTGTGACTAGACAGTGTAGTGTCCTGGAGTTTCAATGTCCAAACCCTTTAGCTTCACTACTGATTCAACATGTCCCTTGAGTGTGTGTAGCTCCCTAAGCCTGTTGTTAACATGTATAAAAACATTCAATTAGTGTTTAATTCCCAATAAGATAAATCAGTGAAACTTCAGGTTGAGATCGAGTTTATTTACCTAGCGATCTCAGCTCTTCTCTTGGCTTGCTCTGCGATCTCAGACAATTCTCTGTAACTTCCTTTCTCAGGGAAGATGTTAACAGCTTCTTTTGGCTGCAAACCGTGAAGTGTTCTTTGAGCAAGTGCCCATTGAGCCTCTCTCTCTTCTTTTCCGTAATCTTTCTTCATCGTGAAAGCCGTCTTGTTCTCAAACAGGTTGAGCCAAGCCTTTCCACTCAAGATGTATCGAATGGCAAACTTGAAAACGTCCTGTGGGAAGTATGTGACAATACTGTATAGCCAGATCACTCCAGCCCATCCCCATCCAATACCCCTAATCTTTGCGAATTGCCAGTTGGCGTAAACTGCAATCAAAGTAGCAATCTGCATTTTGGAGAAACGAATCAATTAACCGGTTTCGTTGAGGACCTCTTTTATCTAATAAGAAATCCCTCGAAGTGTGGAGTTTTGATGATCTTACCAGTTGTGCAATGAGGAAAGCAACCATCAGTAATGCCCCAGGACGTTCAACAAATGACCAACTCCTTGATCTCGTGACAAAGATCAGAGCTTGACTAATGATACTAACTTGTAGATACACCGCACCCATTAACTCGTGGTCATTGTCCCTAATGGACCTCACACCAAATGTGTCCTGTTAATCCGAAGTGAAAGTTAGTACATTAGCCAAGAGGACATATAGACCCAAGAATGAACTGATGAAAAGTGAATTAATCAGGCTCAAATATATATACCGAGAAAAAGTCGGTCTTGTGTGCCGCCCAGAAGAAAATGACAGTCATGATGGCTTGGTAGCCTCCAAGCACGACTCCAGTAGCGAAAATTTCTTTGAGTTTCCAGCTATCAGGTGTGGGAGATGGCTTCACTCTGTCCTTTGAGATTGTCATGATGGTACCTATAGAAACACATGATACCATAAGATGTGAGTAAACTGTTACGATAAGTAACGGAGTGTGAGGGTTATACAAAGGGGTAGTCATTGCTCACCATCGTTAAGAATGGCAATGATCAGAACCATGAATGCTGAGAAGTCAAATTCCCATATCAGAGCAATAAGCATGAAACCAAACACAATACGGATTGTGATTGAAACTGCGTAAATAGTATAGTTCTTCATTCTCTGGAAAATAGCTCTGCTGGTGAGAACTGCACTGATAATAACGCTGAGTCCAGGCTCAGTGAGAACGATATCTGAAGCACCCCGAGCAGCATCTGTAGCATCAGCCACAGCAATACCAATATCAGCTTTCTTCAAAGCAGGAGCATCGTTGACACCATCACCAGTCATTCCAACAATATGCTTCCTCTCCTGCAACTTTTTCACGATCTCGTATTTGTGCTCTGCAATAAGAAAAAGTAAAAAACTTAGATCCAACATAAACACTTTTGCAATGAACAACAATATAGTGAGGTTTAAAATCCAAAACAATAAATAAATTATGACCTGGGAAGACTCCGGCAAACCCATCAGCCTTTTCGATCAACTCTTCAACAGGAATGGATGCAAGGTTTGCGTCCTTGTGGGTACCAAGAAGAGCCGAAGATGGATACATGTTTGTTCCCATTCCAAGTCTGCGACCAGTTTCCTTACCAATAGCAAGTTGGTCACCTGGCCACATAAGTCATCCAAGAGAATGTTAGGGGGGCAAATGTAAAGGTATATAGTTCTCACACGACTTGATCGATGAATAAGCATAATTACCAGTGATCATCTTGACATTAACACCGAGATTTAAAGCCCTTCGAATAGTTTCAGCACTGTCATGTCTTGGGGGATCAAAAAGTGGCAACAAGCCAACAAATTCCCATGGTCCACCTGGGCTTTCCTTTGTTTTCTCTGGCACCACCTAAAAAAGGAAATAAGAACATAGACAATTGAGCATTTGTTTTGTTCCACGCACAAAAGAAGACGGAAACTATGAGTATCACTGGTAAACAAGTACCTGGCGAGCAACAGCCAACGACCTAAGACCACGCTCGGCGTACTTGTCGATAATAGCGAGCACCTTCTTGCTAAGGTCATTGCTAGCCTTGGCAAGTTCGAGGATCTGTTCAGGAGAATCAAATTAGTATAAAAAGAAGAAAGGAAAACAACTAACATACAGTATACTAGTAAGGTTGAAGATTCATCACCTGCTCAGGAGCACCTTTACTGACTCTGTGCCAGTTACCACTGGAGTCGATGTAAGTCAAAGCAGTTCTCTTATCCACAGGGTTGAATGGAAGGAAGTGAACTTCCCTGATTCCAGCTCGAGCCTGCAGAAATCCCAATCAAACATAAGAACTTGTTTCTTGGACGTTCATTTAAACTACAAATGGTAATTCAAACCGGAAAGGATTATACCTCTTTTGGATCAGCAAGCATCCCAACCATGGCTGCATCAATAGCATCCTGGTTCTCAGTCCTGGAAGCCATAGCCGCAAATAATAGGACTTGGTCTTTCTCAACACCCTTGCAGAAAACCTCAACCAAGTTTTTATCCACACTCAATTTATTGAGGGTTAGTGTCCCGGTTTTGTCACTGCACAGAACATCCATTCCCGCCATTTCTTCGATGGCAGTCATACGCTTGGTGATAGCACCTTGCTGAGACAACCTATGGGACCCAATAGCCATGGTCACAGACAAGACCGTGGGCATAGCAATGGGGATACCACCGATCAAGAGAACCAAGAGGTTATCAATTCCATCTCTGTACTTTCGGCGCTGGATAGGGTACATGACGATTATCTCAATCACCATACCGATGGCAATGGAACAGATACAGAAGTTCCCAATAGCTGTAAGGACCTTCTGGAAATGTCCAACTTGGTTAGTACTGTCCACAAGATGAGCAGCTTTACCAAAGAAGGTGTGAACCCCAGTGGCAATAACAACCGCCTCGATTTCTCCTTGTTTGCAGGTTGAACCAGAGAAAACTTCTTGACCAGGGTGCTTGGTCACAGGAAGAGACTCTCCGGTTAGAGCAGATTGATCCACCTTTAAAGGATCACCTTCAAGAAGACGCGCATCAGCAGGGATAATGTCTCCCAATTTAATGCTAACGATATCTCCTGGGACAAGAATAGCAGCTTCCTGTTCACTCCATTTTCCATCCCTAAGCACCTGAATAAGAGAAACACATCAGAACAACAAGAACCAAATCATTAACTCTAGCGAAATGTCGGTAAGTTCTGTAACAACTGCTTGACAGCATTTGTCTGATCATGTTTTACCTTGGTTTTAGGAGCAAGACCAGCCATAAGAGCAGCAGCAGCGTTACCGGCATTGTTTTCTTCGATGAAACTGATGGTAGAGTTGATAACTAGCAAACAGATAATACCGACAAAGTCCTGCCAATCCGGAGGCCTACCATCACCATTAGCCAAAGCAATAGCCATGATTGCAGCAGCTTCCATGACCCATGAAAGTGGATTCCACATAAACCCCAAAAACTTGAGAATTTTGCTTTCCTGTTAAAAAATCCACAATACACACTCAGTAAGT